ACTGAGAAGTAACATCCTTGTCAATTCATTCTCCAATGCACTGGAAACCAGGTGGTTTGTCGGCCCAAATTCAACTAAATGCTCTGCAAACAACATATGTCCTTGTTTTATTTTACATCTGGGCTATGCCTTGAATGGCTGTAATGCATCTCTGTTAGTAAATGGCCACATGTGCCATTTTCAATCCTATGTCATCAAATTCATATTTCAAAATTGTGTGCACTGTGATTAAATTTCTAGGCTCTTGTATTTCAAAGATCTTTAGCAATGTGGACAATGGTGGAGAATGTGGGAAGAATATAGCGAGAATGAAAAAAAAATCATAACCTTCACATTGAAAAACAAATTTTACCCTTAAGTTTTCAATGATGGGACCAGAATCTTGCTGATAAGTGGTGACTACCTTATTTCCATTCATTTTGATCTCATTAATATACCAACTAGCCTAATTTATATGCAACTTGCAATTGTCACCCCCTCTCCTGAGAAGCTGGACAGCAACACTTCCCAAACTCAGAGCAGTTACTTGTCAAATGCAGCTCATCGCTTGCTTTGCTGGGCCTCCATTTCAATGTCTCTTCACCACATCCTTGAATGCTCTACGGATAATGATGTCCTATCTACCTCTGAAGTCAGCATTCACAAATCACCAGCCCCACCACATTATCATTTCTGGTTTCAGACCAAAACACAACCAAACCAGCCCTTCAGGACTTCATTTTGGAGCGCAGGGATAGCTTTTGACTTGCATCATTCCGGCCAACTCTTTTTGCACAAGGAGACACAGAGCCAACCTATGGATCTACACAAGGTGCAACTTCTGGCTTTGTTTCTTAGCACACACTCACTTTGCGCTTACTTGGGAGGCTGCCAGTGATAGGCAGGATCAGTAGTTGTGGAGGATGAGGTGAGTGAGAGATCTTGAGTGGAAATGCTTCAAGCATTAGAGATTGGTAATCCATGAGAGTTTGGGACGTTTGTATGTAGTGGAAGATGGTGACACCTGTCCTTGCAGAGCATGCAAGATCATTGATCTTTTACCAACACTGCTGAGCATTCATCTGATCCTGGTCTCTGTGCCTAGGCTGGCTTTATTTAGTGTTAGCCACATCTGGTGGTCAGCTGGGTAGAGGATGGCCATCCTCTTGACCACCCTGTCCATCAAGACCTCCAGGTTTCTATCTGGAAAATGGGGTGGCAGCTTCTTTTTGTGATATTTTAGTTTCCGAAGAAGCCAGTGTGATGTACAACTGGGCTTTGAATGTAGTGCCAGCAGTTTGTATGCTGAAAGGTCCTGGCAGCAGAGGGAATTTCACCTCTTCTGCTGCATGACTGTCCCAGAAGAACATATAATTAATGAAATGAGGAGCAGAAGATAACATGAGAAAAGTTGTAAGTTGTGATGGGACACCTGCCATAAAACTCCCCAAAAGTGGTACAGCCTAAGACCAGGAAAGTCCAGCACTTAATCTCTTTTTAACTACTTAATAAAGTTCACAAGTATTTTATTCTAAGGCACATTTACAAGTTAGTCAAGCATCTCTGCCATTGTGTCTATGTTTTGTACAAGTGAAAGTCAAAGTAGCTGTTTAAAGGAACTGTCTTTAGAAAGACTTGGGAAGTATAGAAAAAATATTTTAAATAAAAAATACTTTACCAGCATTGTGTAAATAACTCCCTCCTTTCATTTAATACTTATATACAGCTGCAAGGAAAAAAAACATAGGATTTTTGAAACAGATTGATCCAGTTGTAAAACTGATTAAAAAGCAAAAGGAAAATTTAGAACTTTATGTGTGTATCATTCTAGTAGTATGATTACAGTTTTGTTTACATTCAATTATAATGCCAGTAAAAGGTCCAACAGTTTCTTGCTAACTGAGCATACTCCTGCCTTAAATCAATTTGTCACCATCTCGAACATTACCAAAATAACTCTTAATAATTTTCTTCAGTTCACTATGAGTAAATATTACCTGGCAGCCACTTTAGGAGAGCGACGTACATTCATGTTTCTCCTTAGTATCAGCACAATTGTTTAATATTCAGTACATGTTATCATTATTCAGAACTGCTCCAACGGTGGGGACATAATGAATCAATAAAACCAGAAGTAACAATACTGTTAGCATGTTCCTCAGAAAACACAACCTTCTAATGTTGCCATATTTATGTTCTTAATGGCCAATGATATTTCTACCACGCAATAACTATGGAACATAGAAGTATTTTTTAAACATAGAGTTTCACCATCTTGTAAAAACAGAAGCATTTTCTCCTGCACCTTACAGTTAATATTAGATCAATTTGCCTACATCAGTTAAAATTTTGATTAAAACTGCTGTCTGTCATCGGAACTACTTTGTCATCCAAATTATATAATTTTTCATTGATGCACAATTTATTTCAATCACTAAATCATTTGGAATTGTGCTGAATTGTTCTTTATTCTCCTCCTGATATCGGACTATGATCAAGGACTCAGACTCATGCTCATTCTACCTTTATGCATCTCTCTTCAAAGAACACCAATGTTCTTCTTTAATTGTACTTATAGTTATTTACATAACTTGCCGCTCAGCTTCTGATTAGTGTTCATTCCCTTCTGTAAGTCATCCTGGGATGTTTCATGACATTAAAAAGGTGCTATATGATTCCAAGGAGTGTTAAGGCAGGCACAAATGGTTTGAATACTTTACAGGGGAAATAATAATAAGAAAATCAGATTTTCCAGGAATATGCTTATTTGAGATATGGCTAAAATGATCCATCCCCCTCCACTGGTTTACTACTGAGGAGTTACAGGTTTACATCTAAATCAACTCCAATTATTCTTCCAATATGCAAAATGTATGAACAATTTACACTGAAATTTCCACTTTTCATTATTTTATGTTGCACACAAAATATTAAAATTTGAAGGAAACGTGCTATTTAACAAGAAAAAGAAAAGTTTTAATTGATTTGGAAAAGGTATTTTGACTTGTACTTTTTAATTACAGATAACAATTGCATCATTTGAATAAAACCTTTTTAAATTGCTATTATGGACCAGAATTTTAAACATGAACATTTCATGAGCAATTGAACAATTTGAACAAAAGGCCATCCGACTTCATCAGTAATCTCCAAATGAAACTGCCAATTGTGTTTGCATTATTGCCAGTTTGTGTAATGGACAATACTCAAAGGACTGAGGTGAAACATTCTGCTTAATTCAAACAATATCTTTACAATTATCAGACAGGCAATAAAAAGCCAGACACCATCACTGAAATTAACCCGATAAATAACCCCTGCACTTGTGTTATGCTAAAGATTTTCAAAGTGATTGTTAAGAATTTATTTCTTTTAAAAGAAAATTGCACAGTAACCCCCAAAAAATCCACTACAGTAGGGATAAAATCTATACAAGAAATTGTTACCTTACATGATGTCCCAACTTTTTGAGTTGTTGGAGTTCCTAAGAACCTGTATTATAGTTAGATCCACCTCATAGTCACAGAAGGTGTGAGCACTTCAAATTTGAGTTTTAAAATGAAGTCCACCAACAAGACTGAAAGTTAAGCATACCTTCGGTTGAAGGTCTCCCACCTAAAAATGTACTCTTTGAAGTTTCACAGTTGCCTTTTATCCACCCATAAATGTCAGCAGGAAATTCTAGAACCTATCCCACGCAAATTGTTAAACTCAACATTTGCCAAAATTAGTAAACAAAAAGGGAGTAGAAATGGAAATGGCATACATCATGAAAAACCCTTTAAAATACATTTCATCTTGAAATCAACAAAAGCAGTGTTTGCAAATGTTCACTTGTGATCGTTTTTAGGCTTCAAAACATCAGTATTTTACCGAAAGGACAATCAGTGAGCCAGCTCTACCAGAATCTCCAGAGGCAGAGGCAGTCTGCTCCCTATAGAAATACACTTCATTCTGCTGGCTGATCATATCCATTCATTTCCACTACCATTCTGGGACTTCCAGTACTCCATTAAATATCTCAAGCATGGGTGTGACAAATAATAAAGCATCATATTTTACAAAAATGTAAGCAACAAAGAAACACTATAATTCTCCTTTAAATAATTTTCTCGTATTTACAAAATTTATGGCAGAAAGTTGACACAACATGCACTACTTAAACTGCCGATCATAACTAGAGGAAGTAACTCTATTGTTGCTGCAGTGTCTCTTGGGAATGCTTGAAAGTACTCCGATAGGGAATTCTGGCTGAATATCACTTTCCAGTTTAGGGAACAAAAATTAAAGAAGAGAGATTTAAAAGTTGCATCAAAACAAAGTTAGAAGGTCTTACAGGATGAGGAAAAAGGAAACAAAATATTAAAATTGATATGTAAACTTCAATACATTAAAGGAATGACTGTTTATTTCTCAGTATATTCTATGCACTTTTACTTATTAAGAGATAAGCAGATGAGATGCAAGCAAGCTATCAAAGTATGATTTAACTTTAATAGGCTTCATTACCAATCCCCTCCCCCCTCCCCATAAACCTTCCAATTTCAGAACATCTTTGCCAGATTTTGACAGAGGTAATAAGTGCGTTATAAAAATGGCTCTCACTACTCTGTGCACAGCATTCTCATGTACCAGCCTGTTGCATCACCATAAAAATGTTTAAGTCCAAGCTCTGTACTTTGGAAAATTAATTGTTTTGTTAACTGTTTTATCAATTAATTTACAGATGTGTATTTTTAAATTTAATTGCTCACCATTTTTGCAATCTCCTGGCACACCCAATACCACTATGCATTTTATTTGTTACAGGGAAATAAAATCAATTTCAAATTTCAAAATCATATCATTGTTGATTATTTTTCCACAAACATGAAAATTTCAATTATTAGCAACTACAGAGAATGGCAGAGAACACAAAATTATAATCTACAGTATGATTATCTAAATATTTTTAGGAGTAATCAGACCTGGATTATTCCACAAAAGTTACTTAGTTGCAAGAAATGAATTAGATCCAAAACTGGAGTGGCACAAATTTATTTCACCTCAATTTAATAACCCAATAAAGTACAAAGAATACAAAAAATGCAAACAGCATCATGTAGCATAACAGTTTTGTTTGGCTTCCACGAGATAAGTGTTTGAGTCTACCCATCGTTGCTCCCAATATTCCACCTGTAGATTCAAATCCCGTATCCTGAGAAAAGGGTGTATAAATAACAGTTAAATAACCAATGGAACCTATTCCAATGCATTCAGAGCGTTATTAAGTATTTTTAACAAAGGGTAGTTAGATGCTTTAACATCATAATGCACTACAACATCTGAATGTGAAAGAAACTGATATATTTTCAATAATTTAAAAAGTAAAAAGTAAAAGGCATGGAGAAAATTAATATCTTTCAAGTGCGTGGTTTGACAGTGTTTACCGATACATCTGTTTCAGAACCTCTAGCTTCCAGCCTTAAAACACTTATTTTTAAAACAACTATAAATGTTAATTTTGGTATTTTTGATTAAATTTCTATCCCAAACCATCCATTTTCAGTTACACCAACACATTTTCTTGTCTGTGTACTTTTTCATTTGTCAGTTATTTCAATTTACATAAATTCACTATGTTCGTGTCACACGGCCTTAGCGTCCTTTATCTAGGTTTACTTATTAGAGTTGCACTTGACAACTTGCACATTTACTTTTAAGTATTTGGTATAAATAACAGCAACTGGTGAATTTCCACCTGTAAAGTGTGTCGTTAATTGCTGTCATTGACAGGATGGCCATGATTTGGCATTCCTTGTTGAATATTAACAAATTTCTTGGAGAACTGACACTTAACACAACTGCTTACTGTGGTAACAAAGTCTTAGTGCTGCTGTACTCTAGACATCTAAGTAAACATTTAATGCCTGTCTTTCCAAGTGAATCCTTCTGCCGTACCAAATGGAACTCTGTCAGAAAATATCAGTTGATATTGTGAGTTAACCAGAGAATACATTTGGATATCTTTCTCCCACCCACAAAGGAAATATTCAAAATCCAAGAATTAAAGACACCTTGAAAAGATGAGCAATACACACCATTTCATCCAGGAGCTTATTATGGTATTTGACTTCAGTTCCAATATCAATGGAAAGCTATATGAGGGAGGGAAATGGAACAAATAGCAAATAATTAACTGCACATTATAGTTATTTTATATTTTACACTTTAAAACATCTTCTGTTTTACGACAAGTTCACCATGAAATTTCAATTAAATACCATATTTAATGGAAGTTTATTTGTATGTAGCAAAGTGACATCGTGGATAGAGATATCCTCGTCAACTCATGAAGTTGATCCTGGTGGTCACAGGGAGGAAACAGACTTGGACAGTATGTTCTGTGGTGAATTACCACATATACATGGAACCATTTTTACTAGAAAAGCCTATTCAAATTATTCTCCTTTCCCTTCAATTAGGCTTTTGCCTCTGCTTATGTTAACTCAATTGCCATCTCTCAATCTGGTGCGTAAGAAAAGAAAACTCAAAAGCATGTAACATAAAAGGGGGAACAATTGGACAACTGTCCATTAATATTTGAAATACATTTCACAATATAGAAATTTATTCATAATTCTGGTATTTTTTGAATATGTGACTATAATTTGCAAACACGGTAGTTCTTAAACCATAACACAACTACAACCTAAGGGTACACTTAATTTTTCTTTAAAAAATATGAACAATTCATTACTAATTCTTACATGGTTACCTTTGCTGAAGATTTACATCAAGTATAGGAAATAGAGAATGAAAATAATAGCAGTAGATACTTTACACAGGATACGTGGCACATAAGCAGGACTTTTGGCTCAACTATTTTGTGTTGATTGTTATGCTCTGCTCAAGCTTCCTCCAATCTTTCTTCAAAGAAAAATTCACTATTATAACCATGTATTCCCTTGTCATGCATATGCTTGTCTAACTTTCCTGAAAATGCACCTACAATATTTGTTTCATTAACTTGCTGTGGTAGAGCGTTCTTATTCACAGTACTCTTTGGATAAATATGTTTCTTCCGAATTTTCTATTGGATTTATGGGTGCTATGTTATCTTAATGATAAGCTTGTGTTAAGATGCTGAAGGAAAATATTTCTCAGTTCACAGTTCATGGCAAAATCTTAAAATTTGTTGTGTTCAAGCTGATCATTTTGTTACAAATGTCATAGAGATTCTTATCCTATTGTTGGAATTGGCATCTAGCTTGCATAAAAGAGCTCTGTTCTCCAGCAAAAACAACTGAACAAAACAATCAAATAGCTCAAAACATACTCTGTGCTCTTCTAAGTGCATCATTTTTTCTAAATGTTACTTCCTCCTCAACTCATAGCTCATTCCGTTGTCTTAGCTTTGTTGAGAGACAGCAAGTCGTTTATGATTAATATTTAATTTTTTGTGACTAAGAAACTACTATAGCAAAGTTATAATAACAATGGGGCTCCAATCACTTTTTTGCAGTACGCTCAATCCATAAATTGAAGTTGAGCAACTTTAATATATCTCCGGGTTTATTTCAATTTAAGTCAGTAAATAGTTATTCAATAATACAAAACTAGAGTATTGCTGAAAGGAAATATTTTGACAAAACTTTTCATCTTGTACTTATTAGTAAAATTCACAATAGTACTTAAGGGAAAACCAACATTGAAAGAGTATGAAAGTGCTGACGGATTGGCAAGTGGACTTGACTGGTAGACTCACATAATGCAGCAGCTGATGATGACTGACAGTTAACTGTTATGCTCTGTTTAGATTTGAAACCAGGCAGGTTGACTCCGAATGGTCATGGTTTTGCCCTGAAAAATGACAACCATTTGCTGATTCATTATTTTTGCAAGTTAAAGCTAATGTAGTGCATGTACGTCCTTTCTGCCTGCAACGAACAGAGTCCTGCATATTAATATATGTAGCTTCCAGTACACATAAGTGCACCATACTGCAAGCCGAAGTGACAGTCTGAAATTGGTTGTCAGCGTAATTGTTTACATATTCCAGAACAGCAACTTTTTCACACAGAGGGTGGTGCATGTATGTAACGAGCTGTCAGAGGAAGTGGTGGAGGCTGGTTCAATTACATTTAAAAGGCATCTGGATGGGTATATGATTAGGAAAGGTTGAGAGGGACATGGGCCAAATGCTGACAAATGGGACTAGATTTATTTAGGGTATCAGGTCGGCATGGACAAGTTGGACAGAAGGGTCTGTTTCCATGCTGTATATCCCTATGGCTCTAAGTTGTCCAATCACAGAATCATATGACTGTTGGACACTGTCAGAGGTTTTCCAAGCATGATCTGGTTGAATACTCAGCACCTTGCTTGACATGAACAGTTGAAGGGATAAGCTGTTAGATTTGATATGACAATCTTTGGGATGTACAGCCTACATACCTGACATCACACACTTGCAATTAAATTCATATATAGCATCATTAATTGTGATTCTGTAATTGGACAACATTTGCTGGATAATCCTGAGAGCGTGACAAGGTACACTTACAACCGATTTAGGACTGTCAGTCTGGATCACAGTGCGGTGCTTGTGTGTACTGGAAAGCAACATATATTAATATTCAGAGCTCTGCTCTTTGCTGACAGAAAGCTCATGTTCTCACACTCCATGTGTTTTCAACTCAACAAAACAGTTGACAATAGCTCAATTCTTAAGGCAATACCCTGACCAATCAGACTACCTGCTTGATTTTACATCTAAACAGAGCCTGCATTTAACTGTTAACCATCAACTATTACAATCTATGTGGGCCTCTACGAGAGTCCGCTTGCCAAACAATCAGAGCTTTCCTTTCATATGGTACAAATGTGGACTTTTATTTGTTACCAATCTTGAGAAATGCCCTGATGAGTGTAACATGTGAAGTTTTGGTAAAATGTGTCTTTTTCTTTAACACTTAAATAAATAAGTTCAATCGGCAGAAGCAGAATGTATTCATAGATATTGTGAATTAACTCACTTTCAGTACTCAAGAAAATGAATGTAAGGAAATATGTAAAAATATCATGTGAAAATAACAAATGCACCATATCAATATTATTGTAAGCTTATTTGAAAGTTAAATCATTGTTTACAAGCATGTGACTTACGGTTTTTAATGCAGTCACTTTTTCTCGAAGGCCCTCTGTTAACTTATCATTTTCCTCTTCGTACACACTGTAACCACTTCCAGCATAGGCAGGAGGTCCTTCCCCTGAGGGTGGGTAAGAGCAAAATCTATTAGTAGCATGAAGATGGAATAGTGATATTTATCTTTTTAGGTTAAAAAAATTTATCTCCAGATATGTTCTGTAAGATTGGCATTATTAGTAACCTCATAAATAGAGACCAAGCCATTTGTTCACCATGCAAGCTTAATCCCACCAGATGTTGCATCCTAACTACCCTGCAAGATATTGGTTACCCAGATCACATCATTGCTCACTGTATACCAAGCATACTTATAAATGGGCCAAAGATTTGACTCTGAAAAGTGCCAGTCTATCTCAAATTATTCTGGAAAGGCAAGGTTCCTCAATACTTTGAGCAACAGGTGTCCAATGCTGCTAATATGCAGTACGAACATAAATGATATTCTTCACTGACAGGATGTTTCCATCAAGCTAGAAAGACATCCTGCTTACCATACAAATGATTTATGTACTAAATGCATTTGTGTCAATGTGATGCCTTCGCCAGACATCCCACTAGGTGGAGGATCATATCCAACAGCATTCCCATCAACTGCTTGCAATAGGCAAAAATACTGACTATACTCAATTAGTTCATTCTTGGAAACGCAGAGCATTGGAATCACATCTAATGCTCGACTCTCTGACTGCAAGCACTTACTCAACAATCCCAAGCGTGTGAAGAATTACTGAATAAACAATTGAAGATCATCAGTGGGGTTGGCAGAGTTGTTCACATGCCTTTCCTAGAACCCACATATATTCATATACAGAGCCCTGTCCTCTGCAAGCAGAATAGACATGTTCAGGCATTGTGCCTTCTCAGTTAAACTGGGGACTAATGTTTCCCAATGCAGTCCCATCGGCAAATCGCAACCAGAAGCTGCTTGCCAATCAATCAACATCCTTTTCTCATGCACTATAATTTTTATTCCCCTTAAGATGTGGTATTCCTATGTCTGTCCTGATGAGTGCAAGATAAGAAACTTTGATGGCATGTCTTTTTTTGCTTTTCAGCAATAAACTAGAATGTTAATTTTATGCTCCAGTAGGAATTTTAAAAATTGGTCTGGAGGTGTAAGCATTGATTACAAGGCCAGCATATTTCCCAAAATTAACTGTCCTCAAGAAGGTGGGGGTAAGCCACATTTATGAACTATTGCAGTTCTCGAGCTATATGCACATTCAAAGAGATGTTACGGAGTTCCAAGACTTTTAACATAGCAACGCTGAAAACTGGCAGTCACATTGCTAGTCAAGATGGCATATGGCTTGGAGGAAAACCTACAACTGGTGATTTACCCATGCATGTGCTAAACTTTTCCTCTTGGTGGTGTAGATCACAAGTTGAAAGAATCATTGCCAAGTTGCTGCAGTGCATTTTATATGAGGTACATACTGTTGCTACAGTGCAACAGCAGTGAAGGCATTGAATGTTTAAGGTGGTTGATTGGGGAGCAGTACCAATCAAGTGGGTTGCTTTGTTCTGGATGGTGTTGAGCTTCTTGAGCATTGTTGGAGACTCCACACAATTGGGAAGTATTCCATAACACTCCTAGCTTGTGCCTTGTTGATGGTTGACAGGATGTGGGGAGTCAGGAAACATGTTACTCATGCAGGATTCCTAGCCTCTGACCTGCTCTCGCAGCCCAAGTATTTAGGTGGCAGATCCAGTTCAATTTCTGGTCAACAGTAGCCCCAGAGTATGGGTAGCGGAGATTCAGTGATGGTCATGCCACTGAATGTCATGGGGAGCTGGTTAGGTTCTCTCTTGCTTAAGATGGTGTGGTATTTGTGTAACACCTACCAGTCCAAATTTGAATGTTGTCCAGCTGCATCTTGTACCAGAAAAATTGCAAATAGTACTGAACATTGTTCACTACTGATTGTACCTTCTCTCTCTTGACCTTATATTGGGGAGAACGTCATTGAGGAAGCCACTGAAAATGTTCTGGCATGGAACATTCTCTGAGGAACTCCTGCAATGAGTTCCTGGCATAGAGGCAATTGGCCTCCAACAACCAGAAGGATCTTTCTTTGTGCTAGGTATGACTATAACCAGAGGAGAGTTCTCCCACCAATTATCATTGATTTCAATTTTGCTAGTGCTGCTTAAAGTCTCACTCAGTCACAAGATAGTATAAGGTAGGGGTGGAGGTTAGATAGACCTTAGGATTAGGGTAAAAGTTTGGCGCAACATCGTGGGCTGAAGGGCCTGTACTGTGCTGTACTGTTCTATGTTCCATGTTCTAAGATCATCACGGAGGCGATGGCCTAGTGGTATAATTGTTGAGATGTTAATCCAGAGACCCAGATAACGTTCTGGGGACCCGGGTTCGAATTCCACCATGGCAGATGGTGGAATTTGAATTCAATAAATATCTGGAATTAAGAATCTAATGATGCCCGTGAATCCACTGTCGATTGTTTAAAAACCCATCTGGTACACTAATGCCTTTAGGGAAGGAAATGGTCATCCTTACCTGGTCTGGCCTACATGTGACTCCAGACCCTCTGGGCAATTAGAGATGGGCATTAAATGCTGCCTAGCCAGCAACGCCCTCATTCCGTGAATGAATAAAGAAAATAAAAGATGCCGGATTTCAAGGGTAATCACTGTCACCTCATAATAGCAGTGTGCATTCTTCAACATTATACAAGTCTTGGGCAATTAATACAGTTGAGCAGACATGGAGAAATTATGGGGTTTTCAAATGTAATTAATTCTGGAGTATTTGGTGGGGAAAGCCCAGTGTAGAGTAGCTGCTGGCCCAAGGCTAAAGGACTATAATTTTGAATTTTTAACTTTATTTCTTATTTACTACTTTATACTGACAAGCACTGTAATGTTGAACTTTTAACTTATTTCTTTATTTTTCTAAGACTTTGTACCCAGGAATCTTGTATCTAAAATGGCACCATGAATGGCAATATTGTAAACTTTTCATTATGCTCCTGTACCTGCATACACATGACAATAAAACCTAATTCTAATTCCAACAATTAAATCACTTACTGTTTTTGAAAATTTTTGCAATGTAAAGAAGAAGTCAAAATTACTTTAATCTAAATGATTTACAGTGACGAAATGTTTAAGAAGTTTTGCATTCAGTTTATTTTCAGTGTCTAATTTCAATGGTCCAGTCATTATGATATTTCCAATTTTGTTCATGGCAAATTAAATATTAAATCTATTTTCTGTGCAACTTGACTGCTTGTTTTACCTGTCCATTATCTCTTTTAGCCCCTGAACCCATTTAAAACGTCAACTGCTTTTCCAACATAATCTTAGAATAGTGACAATCTCATCCAGTTTAACGCAAAGATTGAAGCCAATATTGGTCCCTGTCATAAAGTCCATCATCCTGTCTCAGCTAAGCAGACTAACCATAAACTCAGCAGTTTCTTTGGTTCTGAACCAAACTTATAACCATATTCTCTCCATTAATGGCAACTTTGCAACATAGGTTGAGTTTAAGGGTGGTTACCGACAATCTCACTGAAACTTATATTAACACATTTGTTTCACCTCTGGACTAACTCGTCCAACGTTCTCCGTGCTGAGTTGGCATGATCCATGCCTTGTACATCCAAAATGTGCAACTTGTAATCTATCTCACCTTTCAGTATTGCACACAAGCTCACAGTGGCTCTTGGTCCCAACAAAAGCCAAAAAAAATTAAACCCTCATTATTCCGTTTAAATATATATTTCCATTATCTCTTCAAACTCTGGAAAACTCATTCCTTCAGCAATGAAACCTTATGCTGGTGTCAATCTTGGCAGAAGACCCACCTTCAGGCCCACCAGGAGTACGTGTCTCCACATTGTCCCTTTCCCTTTGAGATCATCCTTAAAGTCAACATACTTAACAAACCTTCTGACTGACACCTTCTAATATCTCCTTTGATTCAGCATCCTTTATTCCTATTATTGTAAACACCTTGGGACACTGTTCTACATTACAAATGTTATACTGATTCCAATGGTTAAAATCAAGTAATCTATGGCATTTTTTAGTTATGCGGCTATTTCTAAGTGCATAATAAATATTACGTATCGAATTCCCTTATACCATCCCTTCTTATCCACCAGCCCCCATCTGCAATTGTTCCTTCAGAAATGATGGCATTTGGAACATTGGTTTTTCAGATCTGGATCTAGTCAGTTAGTAGCTCCACCATCTTTTTTCCCTTTCCTAGAAGATTTGGGTTATTTCTACAATTCTAATGTATTCTATTAAATCATCCAAGAAGTGACTGAGCAGAGCATTGTTGATTAATAATGCTGCTACCATCAGTTAACTGGTGGCCTGGGACTTGTGTTCCATAAAATGTGTACCGTCTGCAAACGCTGCTATCTTTGCTTTTTTATTTAAAAAAATGTTTGCCAGTCTCGTCTTACCCAAGCCCGCACGCCTCATTTCTCCAGTAGTCTGATTTAGTTTGGTGCTGCTATGACGATGGCACTCCAAGTATTAGGAAACAGATAAAGACCCTCTTGTTTGTTGAACTCTGGTCCCAGACTTCCTCACAGCGCCACGACATCACTGAGCCCGCGGCGGGGCGGGGGGCGGTGCCCCGCACGAGCCAGCATTCTGGGAGTACGTTGTGCAGGCGGCTGGCGGATACCGCATTCCAAATCGCAGGTTGCTCGCGCCCCGGCAGCACCGCGCGCTGCTCACATTCACATTCCCCAGCCCAGCACAAGGCCCCTTGCTTATGCGGATGGGTTTCTGTCAGCTCAAACCTTTCTCATTCTCCTCCAACATTATCCTGCCAACTAAAACTACAGCACATCCCAGAGTTCACTGCTGGCGGCCGCCTGGCAATCGTCATCACGCCCAGTCCCGTGGATTTCTGGTCTATACAAATTCCAAAATTTGAACCGATCAAGGCAAGAGAAATGCTGGTGCTTGGGAGGCAAGGCAGGGGAGGGTTAGCAATAAGCAGGGTTGTTGTTGCGAAGTCAGCCTTGTACAGGACGTGCTGGAAGATGTCAGGATAGTCAGAACTGCAGATGCTGGAGTCTGTACAAGGGTTTCGACTCGAAACGTCAACTTTCCTGTTCCTCTGATGCTGCTTCGCCTGCTGTGTTCCTCCAGACTACACTGTTATCTGTGCCTGTGATGTACCCGGTTCAGTGATTCTGTTCTCTATGTTTCCTGTTTACACATTGTTTTTGTTCAAAATTAAAGTTACTGACCTAATTTCAATTGTATCGAAGAAATAATTCAGGAAGTTAAGGTGTAGCATGGTTATCAAAGTTCTGATCAGTAGTTTGCTGATGATCATTTTCAGCATTTATTTAATATTGGATTTCCAGCATCAGCAAAACTTGGCTTTTGTAGAGTGGTACCCATCTGACAACGTAGTTTAATATTTTCTAAATAACCTGTTCAGTGACGCTGTTGCGCGCATCTGGAGTAGGTCGGAGTTGAACCTACGTAGGTCTCCTGGCTTAAAAGCAGGGACACACGACTACGTCAAAAACCCTAAACATCATATTTTTAACGTAATATGGTTAATTATTGGGGACTTAATGTTGAACGTGTGGGACAAATAACTATTAAATCATGTTGGGAAAAGGAGACAGGAATTACTGAAACATTCAGAAGCAAATGCAAAGTTTGACCGGGGTTCACCAAGAACTTGAGAAAACAAAGCATTGCATCACAGGTAGAACCAAACTTTGCGACAAAGTCAATTGGTCAAAGCAAGAGTACTGTCAGAAGAGGTGAACTCGGTTAACTGAGTATGAGTATTCTGGGTGCAAAGACTATTGCGACTTCTATTATGAATGAAGTGGAAGTCCTAGACAATCTTACAGAGCTTAAAAATATACATCTCCTAAATTAGATTGTACTTATTTAAGAGGCATAAAGCCAGTAATGAAGAAAAGGATAGGGCAGATGCCAGCTCATTGAAGGGCAAGGTAACACTAGTTTTTCTGTAGAAGATGAGTGAGGTTTTGATGATCTAGATTTAGTGAACTAGGAAGCCTGTCAGAAAAGTTACATTCAATATCAGTGTGGAGGAATCCAGCACTAATTTGGCATAGAACTACTTGCAGGCATGAAGCTCTCATCTTTGCTAATATGGAACAGATAACAAACCCTCCATCTGCAAGGTACAAGTCACATGTGATGGAATATTCCTGAGTAACCTTTTAATTATTCTCTGATGTTGCTTATATTCTGACCAGTTATCTGACTTGCCACACAACTTTGCACAGTTATATGTTTTTCTTTAGGTTTGATGCTTTCCAAACTTCTTTAATTAACCACAAATGGTTGGTCCTCAAGAATTTTTCTTTAAATTTGGAATATACTGTTGCTTCATTCCTTTTTAAACAAGTTGCAGACAACTTGTTATGTATGAATTTGCCCAGGTGTCCCACGGTACCAAAGCGGTCAAATGAAAACCAACACAATTTGGTACCAAAGCAAAACATCCCCACTTTGTTAGGAACAAAATTACAATAATCTTTAATACTACAGGGGGTAGGTGATGGCCTAGTGGTATTATCACTAGACTATTAATCCAGAAACCCAGCTGATGTTCTGGGGCACGGCAGATGGTGGAATTGGAATTTTAAAAAAAAATCTGGAATTAAGAATCTACTGATCACCATGAAATCATTGCCGATTGTCAGAAAAACCCATCTGGTTCACTAATGTCCATCAGCAATGTGGTTGACTCTGAATTGCCCTCTGAAATGGCCTAGCAAGCCACTCAGTTGTACCAGTCGCTACAAAGACACTGGGCGGATCACCTGGCATCAACCTAGGCACCGGAAAAGACAATGGCAGAAACAGCCCTGTCTACCCTGCAAAGTGCTCCTCACTAACATCTGGGGGTTAGTGCCAAAATTGAGAGAGCTGTCTCACAGACTAGTCAAGCAACAGCCTGACATAGCCATACTCACAGAATCATACCTTACAGACAATGTCCCAGACACCACCATTACCATCCCTGTCTCACCGGCAGGACAGACGCAGCAGAGGGGGTGGCACAAGTAGTATACAGTCGGGAGGGAGTTACTCTAGGAGTCCTCAACATTGACTCCGGACCCCATGAAGTCTGATGTCTTCAAGTTAACCGTGGGCAAGGAAACCTCCTGCTGATTACCATATACCATCCTCCCTCAGCTGATGAATCAGTATTCCTGAATGTTGAACAACACTTAGAGGAAGCACTGAGGATGGCAAGGGCACAAAATGTACTCTGGGTGGGGGATTTCAACGTCCACCACCAAGAGTGGCTCAGCAGCAGTACTACTGATCGAGCTAATTGGGTCCTAAAGGACATGGCTGCTAGACTGGGTCTGCAGCAAGTGGTGAGGGAAAAACATACTTGACCTCATCCTTACTAATCTGCCAGCTGCATTTGCATCTGTCCATGACAGTATTGGTAAGAGTGACCATCGCACAGTCCTTGTGGAGACAAAGTCCCACCTTCACACTGAGAACAACCTCCATTGTGTTGTGTGGCACTATCACCGTGCTAAATGGGACAGACTTCGCACAGATCTAGCAACTCAGGACTGGGCATCCATGAGGTGCTGTGGGCCATCAACAGCAGCAGAATTGTACTCCAGCACAATCTGTAACCTCATGGCCCGGCATATTCCCCCACTCAACCATTACCATCAAGCCAGGGGATCAACCCTGGTTCAATGCAGAGAGCAGGAGGGCATGCCAGGAGCAGCACCAGGCATACCTGAAGTTGAGGTATCAACCTGGTGAAGCCACCAAACAGCCACCAAACAAAACTTGCATGCCAAACAGCGAAAGCAGCAAGTGATAGACAGAGCTAAGCAATCCCACAACCAACGGATCAGATCTAAACTCTGCAGTCCTGCCACATCCAGTCATGAATGGTGGTGGACAATTAAACAACTCACTGGAGGAGGAGGCTCTACAAATATCTCCATCCTCAATGATGGAAGAGCCCGGCACATCAGTGCAAAAGATGAGGCTGAAGCATTCGCAGCAATCTTCAGCCAGAAGTGCTGAGTGGATGACCTATCTTGGCCTCCTCCAGTGGTCCCCAGCATTACAGATACCAGTCTTCAGTCAAATTGATTCTCTCTATGTGATATCAGGAAACGGTTGGAGACACTGGACACTGCAAAGGCTACCGGCCATGACAACATTCCAGCAATAGTACTGAAGGCTTGTGCTCCAGAACTTGCCGCTCCCGTAGCCAAGCTGTTCCAGTACAGTTACAACACCAGTATCTACCCGACAATGTGGAAAATTGCCCAAGTATGTCCTGTACACAAAAAGCAGGACAAATCCAACCCGGTCAATTACCGCCCCATCAGTCTCCTCTCGATCATCAGTAATGTGATGGAAGATGTCACCAACAGTGCTATCAAGCAGCACCTGCTCAGAAATAACATGCTCAGTGACACCCAGTTTGGGTTCCTCCAGGGCCACTCAGCTCCTGACCTCATTTCAGCCTTGGTTCAAACATGGACAAAAGAACTAAATTCCAGATGTGAGGTGAGAGTGACAGCCTTTGATATCAAGGCTGCATTTGACCAAGCGTGGCATCAAGGAGCCCGAGCAAAACTGGAATCAATGGGTATCAGGGGGCAAATTCTCCGGTGGTTGGAGTCATACCTGATACATAGGAAGATGGTCATGGTTGTGGGCGGGCAATCATCTCAGCTCCAGGATATCTCTGCAGGAGTTCCTCAGGGAAGTGTCCTAGGCCCAACCATCTTCAGCTGCTTTAACAATGACCTTACCTCCATCATAAGGTCAGAAGTGGGAATGTTTGCCGATGATTGCACAATGTTCAGCACCATTCGTGACTCCTCAGATACTGAAGCAGTCCATGTTCAAATGCAACAAGATCTGGACAATATCCAGGCTTGGACTGACAAGTGGCAAGTGACATTCGCACCACACAAATGCCAGGCTATGACCATCACCAATAAGAGACAATCTAACCACCGTCCCTTGACATTCAATGGTGTTACCATCACTGAATCCCCAACATCAACATCCTGGGGGTTACCATGGACCAGAAACTCAACTGGACTCACCACATTAACACAGTGGCTACAAGAGCAGGCCAGAAGCTGGGAATACTGCGGCAAGTAACTCATCTCCTGACTCCTCAAAGCCTGTCCACCATCTACAAGGCACAAGTCAGGAGTGAATACTCTCCACCTGCCTGGATGAGTGCAGCCCCAAGAACACTCAAGAAGCTTGACACCATCCAGGATAAAGCAGCCCGCTTGATTGGCACTACATCTACAAGCATTCACACCCTCCACCACCAAAGATCGGTAGCAGCAGTGTGTATTATCTACAAGATATACTGCAGAAATTCACCAAAGATCCTCAGACAGCACCTTCCAAACCCACGACCACTTCCACCTAGAAGGACAAGGGCAGCAGATATGTGGGAACACCACCACCTCCCAGTTCCCCTCCAGGTCACTCACCATCCTGACTTGGAAATATATCGCCGTTCCTTCACTGTCACTGGGTCAAAATCCTGGAATTCCCTCTCTAATAGCATTGTGGGTCAACCCACAGCAGGACTGCAGCAGTTCAAGAAGGCAGCTCACCACCACCTTCTCAAGGGCAACTAGGGATGGACAAGAAATGCTGGCCAGTCAGCAATGCCCACATCCCACAAAAATGAATAGAAAAAAAAAATTAACATACTATCCCTAATCCTATTTGGCCCCTTAAGGTTACAATACTTCCCAAGTCTCTTGCAAATTTGCAGATTGGCT